TGTAAAAGTCACTTAGTTTATAACAGGCCACACACAATATACTACTTATTTGTCCATAACTTAAGTTCTTAATAAAGATACCAATAAATACAGCTCACTAGCTATAATCAAATATAATTGAGAATTAGCATAATTTAGCTATGACATAGGTGTCAAACAATCATGCTCCATCCACAACACTAAGTTCAAGACATGTCAGAAGGAAACATTCAACAAAAAGGTTATTTTACTCAGAAGAAGACATTTAACTACCTATAATATCAAATCACAGAACTCCCAATGAGAAAAATCCTACTTTTATTTATTCACTTCAAAACAGTTCCTTCAGCATATATGTCCCCCCAGTAAATATACACATGCACTACTAACAACTCTAGTACAAGCTAGAACCTGGCAACCACACCACTACAAATAAGTGCAGTGGAAGCCACAAACTATAAGGTCCTTGAGGAAGGAACTGCATTCTCCTCACTTTTGTACAGATAGCCTCAGGTTACATCGGACTTGACAATATGTCGTTTTGTGGTTACATGGCCATCTCCCATAGTCATGACTGCAAAACTAATAGTAAATTGTGTAAGGCTAAATTTTCTTACAAGTCTAAGAAAATTTAAAAACTGTATTTCAATTTAATAAATATGACCATTATTCTAATGTAAAATGTTAAATGTACTAATATTCTTTTACTCATTGAGACTAAAGTTAATGAGTAGAATCTTATTCAAAATGTAATAAAGAACATCAAAATTAAGAATACCAACCTCAGCTCTTTCTCGTCAACGAGGCGGCGGAGCAGCCTCCCCAGCAGCGCAGAAATGCAGATCTTTGTGAAGACCCTGACTGGCAAAACCATCACCCTTGAGGTTGAGCCCAGTGACACCATTGAGAATGTCAAAGCTAAAATCCAAGACAAGGAGGGCATCCCACCTGACCAGCAGCGTCTGATTTTTGCGGGCAAACAACTAGAGGATGGTCGCACTCTCTCAGACTACAACATTCAGAAAGAGTCCACCCTGCACTTGGTGCTTCGTCTGAGGGGTGGCATCATCGAACCCTCCCTCCGCCAGCTCGCGCAAAAGTACAACTGCGACAAGATGATCTGCCGCAAATGCTATGCCCGCCTGCACCCCCGTGCTGTCAACTGCCGCAAGAAGAAGTGTGGCCACACCAACAACCTGCGCCCCAAGAAGAAGGTTAAATAAGGCCCCTCCCCAACTCCTTGGGTCCACAGGGCAGCCTTCTATCTGAACCCTGTGATGCTAGGGCCTCAACAAAGTTTCTCTTTTGTTGACTGGAAAAAAAAAAAAAAAAAAGAATACCAACCTCATACTATTACTAATACTGTTGTTAATTTATTATTCTCAATTCCAATTTTAATAACTTTAAAGATTCCTTAAACTACTATTTTTATAATTTTATTACAGAATAGATTTAAGTGAAATGCAATGAAAATAAACTTTTTGCTTCAAGAGAATTTGCTTCAATGAACATATATAAAACATCTGATAAAATGTTATGTGAAAAATCCTATATAATAAAAAGGTAATATGCAAATTGACCCTAACGATGAAATGACCAGTTACTATGAGGCACAATGACCAGCAAGGGCAGACACTCAATGCAGGAGCTGCCCCCTGGTGGGAGTGCCCACAGGGGGAACTCCACTCAGCCATGAGCTAGGCTGATGGCTGCAAGTGCAGCAGTGGAGATGGTGGAAGCCTCTCCCACCTCCTCAGCAGCACTAAGGATATCCAACTGACAGCATTCACACATCCCCCGAGGGGTCCCAGGCTGCCAGAGGGATGTCTGACTGCCAGCTTAGGCCTGATCCCTCGGGGAGTGGGGAGTGGGTCTAAGCTGGCAGGTGGGCATTCCCCAAGGGGTCTCGGACTGTGAGAGAGCTGAAGGATCCCCCCACCCCCAAGTGCATGAATTTTCATACACTAAGTTTCTAGTTATAAATAATTATGTAACTGGTAAACCAAGCTATATTATAGCATATCACTAAAAAATAAAGCCTTAAAACAGGTGATATAAAGTAAATAAATAGAAAAAATAATCATTGCATATAAACATATTACAGCCATTAAGAAAAAATTTACCTCCACATGGAAAACACTCATGTAACATAATACTTTATCAATTTATTTATTCGAGAAAGCATGTATAGCACGTGCATGTATACCATTAAATATCTCCAGATAATTTTTATTATATTCAAATAACTATTGTGTTAAATTAACAAACAACTTTCTCTAAATATCAAAAACAGTATTAACAGGTTCTTAGTTTATCTTAAAGCTGTAATGTAACAATATTGCCATCTAGTGTTCATATCAAGTAAGAACTTCACACTTTTGTTTTTCACTTAAAAAAATTATATGTGCAATAGGTTAAATACAAATTGTCATTCTTATCGACGAGTGGTTTTCATGGATGCATAAAAGGAGAGAAAAACAGAAAAGGTCACTGGGAGTCAATAGAAATAAAAAGAAAAGGCATATGAGAGAATTACCCATCCTATGGATGTGATTTCTGTCACATTTTGTTCTTCCATACAATACATATGTAACCTGATTATCTCAGATACTTTAGGGTCAGATGCATCATCCATTTGTATCACAAATGGAAATAAAGCAAGATCAAGTCCTAAGTGATATGACATCAAATGAACACAAATTCATTTAAGCCATGTTTTAAATATACAAAATTTATCATTTTGATTACTGCTAATGAGATGAATAAAAATTGTTTTAAGTTTATGGTTGAAAAGAATTTCATAGTTGTTAAGGTAGAAACAATTTAAGCTGGTTAAAAAATAAAGATGTATTTGGGTACACTGTTTCTTAATTATATTATAAGCGGTGTTGAAAACAAAGACAGGTGACACTGTTCATCTCTAATCAAAGTCTGTTGCTCGAAAAATCTTCAAGTCTGGATGCTACCAGTGATTTGCTATGTGGCCTTGGGCAGATCTCTTAGGCATTCTGAGCTTCAGTTCCTTTTTGTTAAAGATTAATTTAGTATATCACAAGGCTATAAAATGTAAAATGCCCACCAATATAAGGTACTAAAAGGCAAGGTAAAATGGATGATGGTGGCAGTAGTACTACTTACTAGATTGTAACAACGACTGCTACCACTACCACAATATAATCCACTTTCAACTAAACCAGTGTGTAGGTCACAAAGATGTCGTGGGTTTTCCTAGTTCTCTTCCTGCCCATCAAAAATTTCTAGTCTACTAAACTCTATCAACTGGAAATAAGGTGTCAGCTAATTTTATCCTTTTTATTTACCCATTTTCTCATTTCTGTACAATAAAAATGGAAAAACCCTACTCATTCTCTATAACCCAGCTCCATTTTTCACCTTTTCTATGAAGTCATCTTCCTATATTCATGCCCAATCCAGAAATCTCTCTCTCTGCTATAAATTTCTTAGCACTAACAGCATTCTTTTACATTATTTTTATGTACATCTGTACCACCTTCCCTCCCCCACCTCCAATAAATTATAAGCTCTTTAAAAGGGAAAAACATTGACTATCCTTCTTTGTATCCTCCACGAAGATAATTGTGGGTACCTGAGAGGTACAATCACATGTGATACAAATGCCTTCCTGCTCTATTTAGGAGTACCTTACTTCCCCAGGCTTTAGTTCTCAAAGAATTACATGTGTCAAATTGATTGGCAACAACATTTAAACTCTCCAAGCCTCAATTCCTTAAGATAAAGATCATAATACCTATTTCATAGTTATTGCAGCAGCAAAAATAAACATTAAAAAGTATGTATTGTATAAAGAAAGCTATTAATAAAATGTAAAGTTTAGTTAAAAATTATTTTATTTTCAGACAAAGCATTTTAAAAACATATATTGAAAAAAAATTCTCTGCAATACAGATTAAAAATGAATTGGGTTTTTTAAACTATTGGCATTAGGGCTGCCAATCTACCTACCTATTTAGCTAGTTATATGCATAGCCTAATAACTGACTATATTACCTTTCCACAAGAACACAGTAAAGGTATATAAAATTTTCTATAAATGCTGACATAAAAATTATCTAACTTAAATGTTGAGTTAAATGAGAACATTTATATTTGGTTCTCAAAGGCTCCTTTGAGTGAAGAATTAAAAGTTTCCACCAGATATTTAGATTACAAAGTCTAACATCCATTCAGGAACCAAATTTATTTACAGTGAATAAGAATGTAAATGCTATTATTTACATATATCTCAACTAAAAACTTATAAACAACACTGCAATATCTCAGGTGACTTTGTTTTTCAATAAATACTAGTCTCATCATTTTTTTTCTCCTCTAGTCATTCATATCCGTGAGATTAGTATTGTTTTTCTGGACCATATAAGAAATGTACTTTGAGAACAAATATTGATACCTTAATCAATAAAGAGATTTAAAAAAAAGAAAAAAGAAATGTGTACTATGACTATATTTTTAATAAGTTTTTTAAACTGCAATTAAAAAAACCTTAACTTTATTAAATATGTCATGGTTCCTATTTTTATGCTACTGCTGCCATCTAGTGAAAAATTTGAGAACTTAATAATTCTGAAGATGAGAGCATTTTTGTAAAAAATGCATGTCAACCTAAAAGGGCATATTTGAGGAATACGAATATTACTTGCAAATAAAATTTTTAAATTTGTTTTCATTAAATTACACTTTTATATTATACTTCATCAATAATCATGAAGCCTTTTGTTTAATCATCAAGATCATTATAAGTGTTTAATTTAAAAATTCCTTAAATTAAAAAAAAACACGAAAATTAAACTGTTTTATCATGTGGTTATACCTATATGCAAATTCAGTGATATCATTAAAGATCTGGAATTTTCAATTACTTACCTAGACCATATTACTTATTCATGCTGATTAAATCTCTAAATGCTTGGAATTCTACCAACTATTCTACCTGAAAAATTCCATGAAGATAAAGATAGATAACAGCCTATAACAAAGCTTACCTGGGAAAATATATTTGCTGTTGGAGCAACTCTGCTGTCCACAATACTATATAATATTGCTAATAATCTATCTAGTGGAAACGGTTTTGGTCCGAGGAGATGATTGCTTGTCTATAAGAAAAAAGAAAATATATTTTCTTCTTAAAGCAGAGGACTCACTCTTTGTACTATAAATTCCCAGTATCACAATATTTATATCCTACAGTTCCCCAAAGATGCTAACAAATCCAGCTTGCAGTCTCTATGCAAAAACTTTATCTAATATAATCATGATTTATCCTTACATTTTCTTCAAGATTTTCTGTCTTAGCATCAACAAATATTAAAGGATTCACGAGTCATTCAGCCTCGTCCTAAATATCACCCCTATTTTGCTGCTGTAACCAGATAAGTGACAACCAAGTCATTTGTCAAGATAGTATATAACCAAACAACATGACAGTTTGGCTCAATGGATAGAGCGTCGGCTTGGGGACTGAAAGGTCCCGGGTTCGATTCCGGTCAAGGGCATGTACCTTGGTTGTGGGCATATCCCCAGTAGGGGGTGTGCAAGAGGCAGCTGATCGATGACACTCTCTCATCGATGTTTCTAACTCTATCTCTCTCCCTTCCTCTCTGTACAAAATCAATAAAATATATAACCAAACAACATGAAAGACAAAAGAGGCTATTACTATAAAAGTCAAATCTCTAAGAATAACATCGGAAGAACTAGAGTTCATCTAGAACTAGAGACATCTTCATGATGGCAGATGCCCTCTCAACACCATTCTTTTCCTAGATTTGCACAAACCCACTCATTCCACAAAGATGGTCTAAAGTGCCAGCTCTTTCACAGTCCTCTCATCAGCAGGACTCATATATATCTCTCTCCTCGTATTTCTTGGGTGATTTAGTATAAAAGGTAAAATTCTTAGCTTTTTGTTCATTCTTTAATTTTCTTCATTCATTAAATTTATTCATTTTTAAAATAAGCATCTATCAAATATCACCAAGTGCTGAGATACAGAGGAAAATGGGTGGACTCCCTTCCCTTAGGGAACTGGTGAGTGAGGATATTCCTCCAGAATCCCAGACAAACCTCAGTGAAACTTTAAAAACACAAAAGGAAAAGGAGAAAATAATTTAAAGCAGCTAGAGAAAATATAAATTTAGAACACAGATTTTTTTTTATCCCTAATACTAACTCCCTTGAATGTGTCCTTCAATCACTGTATTCAGCATAACAGAATATTAGTACAGTATTATAATGGTACCATAGCAATACAAGTAACTTCTTATATCCACATGACTAATAAAGGCGTGAATTTATCCACTTCCCATAGTGTCCTAAATTCATGAGTTTTTCCCATTAGAGAAATTAAAATGAAAATACCTTTTCATGTTTCTTTAGAAAATTGGTTTTCTTGATTTTCCCATGATGCTACAATTAAAGAAAATAATTTTTAAGGTTAAAATAAAGATAGTATTTCATAAAAACAGAAAACAATTTGTTTAAAACATGGCACAGATAACAATAATTTATGTATCTTAGGCTTTTTTGTTTTTTATTCTACTTGCCCACCTAATTATTCTACTAGCCTTGATTGGACTTAGATTTCACATGTATAGGTTACTTTGGTATGTCAAGAAAAAGCTTTTAAAATAAAATAGTGATACTTCCTAAAAGAACTTAATGTGGTTCTTGTCCTCATGAAACAAAAGCATGGTGGGAGAGGTAGTCAAAAATAAATAAATAAATGTTTATTACAAGTACTTTTAATAATAAATAAAATTGCATATTTTTTCAAAAAGAAAATAATTCTAAAATCAGATTTATTCACCTAATGTATATGTAGAATAGGTTCCTGACTATTCTAAATAATGATATATGAATGCATGACCCCACAGCAGGAGCTTCATAACAACAAAGAAGTTAGTATCCTTAAAATTATTCCCATCTCTCATACTTTAAACAAAACCTTATGTACTTTTAAAGTCTAGCATTATCACCTAAGATATACCTGAGCCCTTCCTTGAAACTACTCTTCCCATTCAGGTTTTGATCTTAATTTAAAGCCTTAGAGGATGAATCCTAAATACTTATTTAGCAATCTCTTATTCTAATCTCTCATCTTTAGAAATTTAACGATTGAGAAATTTAAACTATTCATGGAATCTTCAAAAATAAAGTAAAAAGAAGTAATTGTTACCTTAAGGAAAAACCTCTTGTCAGTTCTTGATGGATTATATGAAGCAAGGTATGCAGCAATTAAAATAAACTTAGAGTAATAAGGAAGTTCCACATGAGTATATGCTGAGAGACCTACACAACAAAAAAACTTTTATGAAGGTGTTTAACAGGCTACCATTAGATTTTAAGTATCTCTTATATTTTCTCACTTATCTTTTTACTTTCATATCACATTATTTAGTCAAAATAACCTACTCCTTGAGCTTAAAGTGCCATAATAATAATGGTGGTGGTAGTAAACATTATCATCAATATGCTTTCCTCATTCTATTATTTTTGTTTGGTTTCTTCTATTCTGGTCTAAATGCTACCCAACCTGGCCTTCAAAGCCACACTCTCCATTAAACCTTCCCTTGATGCTCCTTTATCACACCAAAATAGAAAAATCTCTCTACTCTGAATTCCTGGTTTCTTCGTGTGTGTGTGTTTTTCACTTATGGCCCATATAACTTTATACCTGTAATTATTACTTATCATTACAATAGGGGCCAAGTGCATGAAATTCGTGCACTAGGGGGAAGAAGCTTCCCCTCAGCCCACCCTGTGCCCTCTTACAGTCTGGGACCCCTCAGGGGATGTCTGCCTGCCAGGTTGTGGGTGAATGGCCTTCTGCTGCTGCAGAGCCTGCTGCTTGAGCTTCAGTAACTGCTGCATATGAATGAGCTGGGGCCACCATGGTCTGTCCTATGAGCACCATCAAGTGGATGAGTCAAGTGCAGAGGCAGGCCCACCCTGAGTTCCCTGCACTTCCCTGAGTCACTGAGTTGTTCAGACTGACTGCCTTCTACAGAGAAAAGCACCATGATCGGGCCTAAGCTGGCAGGCAGACATCCCTCTTGCAGTCTGGGATCCCCTGAGGGATGTAGCAGTGTGCCACGTGGCAGGCAGTCAGGAAGGAGCCTGAACTGGGGCCGGGTACTGCTCCACTTGTGCTCATCCCAGCCGGCTGTGCCTGCTGCCACCACTCGGTAGTGCTGCCATGGTGTCAGGAGAGCTCCTGACGCTGTGGCAACTACGCTCACCAGCTGTGAGCCCGGCTTCTGGCTGAGTGGCACTCCCCCTGTGGGAATGCACTGACCACCAGGACAGCTCCTGCAATGAGCATCTTACCTTGGTGGTCAGTGCACATCATAGCAACTGGTCGTTCCACCATAATGGTCTCTTACGTTTTTATTATATAGGCTGGAGGCCCAATGCACAAAATTCATTCATGGGTAGGGCCCCTAGATCTGGACAGTGATCAGGGCCTATCTGCAGGGTGATGGGTGGGGGAAGGTCCCCCCCCCCGCTGGTACCCGCCTTGGCTGACCTGGGCCTGCGGGCTGGGGGGGAGCTCCTGAGTTAAGCACCTGCCCCCTGATAGTTAGAGCCCATCATAGCAACCGGTCATTCCACCAGTGGTTCTGCCTTTTGGTCAATTTGCATATTGGGCTTTTATTACATAGGAATTAAAGTTACTTACAGTAAAATTATATTTCTTTACCAAACTATATTGTTCACTGAAGGAGCCATGTCTAATTTTTTTCTTTCTTTTTATGTCTGAGTGCCTTTCAAAAATGAAATAATTGAATGAATGGCTAAATAAAACAAATGGGTCACTCAAGCAGCATTGATTTTTACAAGGAAAAAGGGAATCTGATAGTTTATGAAAATATAGTATATGTCAGGCACTGTGCTAGGTATTTTACCTAAGCATCTCTGAATTTGCTGTAACTTAAAGCTAGATATTCTTCCCATTTTAGATGAGGACACTAAGTTGAGCACAAGATCACACAGTCAACCAATTATTGCATATTTTCTAACTCTAACATCTATTTCTTTCCATTAAAACACACAACTAAAAATCAGGAGCATTGAGAAACCAAAACTGACAAAACAGAATCTCAGCTCCACTTCATTTCACACCAGTTGCCTCAACCACTAAATAATATTTTAGATATCTGCTTATTTTTTAAGTAAAAGCTGTTCTTTTGAGATAAATCCAAAGTAATAATTTCTTTAAAGAAAACAAAAGCACAAAGCTTTAAAACATAGTCAATTGATATGTATCCTACAAACTGAGTTAACATAAAATTGAATTTTATTCTATAAAACTCATGAAATACATACTGAGATGAAATTATGTATTGTATACCAAAACCAGTTTGATATACAGTGGATAGAGCGTTGGCCTGCGGACTGAAAGGTCCCAGGTTCAATTCCGGTCAGGGGGCATGTACACTGGTTTCGGGCATATCCCCAGTAGAGGGTGTGCAGGAAGCAGCTGATTAATGTCTCTCTCTCATAGATGTTTCTAGCTCTCTATCCCTTTCCCTTCCTCTCTGTAAAAAAATCAATAAAATATACTTTAAAAAAATTATGTAATGTAATTGTTTTAACAAAAGCATTTAATAAAATAAAAACTTCTTGATTTTCACATGATACAATCCAATGTTCAGAAAACTGGTATACAAACTTTACTTCCCCTATTTAAATTAGAGTTCCACTTAAAGAAAAATGAATTAAAATATCACTATAGCTTAAAAAATAATTTATTTTTATAACACTGACTAATGTTATCTGTGGTATTAACTTTAGTATCTTGATTATTAGTAATAAAATAGAGTTTCTGGTAACTGTCTCAATACTTCCTTGATACCTTCCAGTTGTCCAGGATCTTTGTCATCTTGCTGTAGCTTTTCCCATTGTGAACTAAAAAAAAAATATAAAATAAGGGGTAGAAAAAATACTACATCAAAATACCATACTTTAAACAGAGTCCTAGAAAAACTAAAACTTACTTATTGACAAAATAGATTCAATTTCCCTATAAACAAGACAATAAATAAATGCAATATACATGTTTATACTCTACAGAATCATGAAGTGTTTATTAGAACAATGTATCTTATTTATCAACTAGAGGCCCAGTGCATGAAATTCAAGCATGCGTAGGGTCCCTAGGCCTGGCTGGCAATCAGAGCCATCAAAGCCTTCCGGTTGCCAGCTGGGGCCTCTCTTCCCTGGATGCCAGCTGCAGGCAAGTGCCTCCCTTCATTCCACACAACCCCCTAGTGGTCAGCACACATCACAGAGAGTGATCAAACTCCAGGTCTCCCTGTCAAACCCCTGTGGAGACAATTTGCATATTAGGCTTTTATATATATAGATACCCAAATGTTAATTTTTAAAAATCTCTTTTCCTCTGATCACAATTGTAAAGCTACCAAAAAGTACCAACAAATAAATAATATCATCTGTCATTCAATAAAACTCCCAATGTCCCAGTTACCATATGAGATAAAATTGTTATACACTATTTCTAAACTCAGTATCAATCTCTTAACACATTGTGGACCAGTAGTTTCATTGATAGCTTTACCCAGGGGCCAGATAAGTTTCTATTGAACGAGTACAACAGAATGTTAAATGCACGCTTTAAAATTAAATACCCATTGCATTTTGAAGTTATTTATTACATGTTCTTACAAACTAATATCTTTTTAAAGAATTCTCGTGCCTTAACAGGTTTGGCTAAGTGGATAGCGCATGGGCCTGAGGACCAAAGGGTCCCAGGTTCGATTCTGGTCAAAAGTATGTATCTTGGTTGCAGGCACATGCCCAGTGGGGCGGGGGTAAAGGGGATACAGGAGGCAGCTCATTGATGTTTCTCTCTCATCAATGTTTCTAACTCTCTATCCTTCTCCCTTCCTCTCTGTAAAAAAATCAATAAAATATATTTAAAATAAATAAATAAATAAAATTTTTAAAAATAATTTTTGTGACTGTCCACAAGCCTTAGAACAGAAAACATGCAAATTCTCATGATCTGTCTGTAATGTGTTAAAATAAGTATCACTGTATCAGAAAACTGAGGCCCACAAGTTAAGTTGCCCCAAGATACCCAATCAGTCAGTACTGGAGCTAAGAACTGAATCCTTGTAGATGTCTACAGAGTTCATGGTATTTCAATGATCTTACTTGTAATGAAAACTATTCAACTGCCCAAAATATTAAGATTATGAAGTAATTAAGCTATGTCAAATTAAATAAATAAGGAACATACCACAGTGTAAAGACTGTCCTAGGAGATCAAAGTTTTAGCTGTATGATCTTGAATAAATCAATAACTTTCTCATAAAAAAATAAGGCCAATCTTGGCCAGTGTGGCTCAGTTGGTTGGAGCGTTGTGCCATACAAAGAAAGGTACTAGTTCGATCCCAAGTTGGGAAGGGTGTGGGAGGCAATCTAACCATCTCTTTCTCTAGCCCTCCCTCCCTCCTTCTCCTAAAAAAAGCATGTCCTCAGGTAACCAAAAAAAAGGTAATTAGATGCTATGATCTGTGTAAAGACCTTCTCCAGCTTTAAATCTCTTACAAAGCTCTTAAAATGCTAATTTGAAAATAAATGCCAGATCAGAACAATTAAACATATTAAGTCAACATATATATTTTTTCAAATCTATAAGCATAGATGAAAATTCTGGTAATACAGCAAGTGGTAAATTTTGATAAGCTACTAGTAACCTATGTGAAGAGCAAACCTAATCTAACAAGCTGACTTTCAAAATAGAGCATTTCTTCCACCTTACTTTAGAAGGCATTTTCACATTCCTTTGAGATAGTTTAAAGCCATAAGGTCTTCTTATATAGTAATTACCCATTTAATGTTATTATTTAACTCTCAAAGGACAACCAGTGAAAAACTGACCATCTTTAACGGGAAAAAAAAAGACTATAATATTTACTAAATTTTTACTATGAACCCACCTCTTAACATGTCTCCTTTATTACTCACAAACTGTATTTCTTTTCTTTTTTTACAAATGGCAAAACTGAGTCAAAGAGGTTAACTAATTTGCAAAAGCTGCAAGTCTCTAAGTGGTAGAATCAACATTTCAATTGAGATCTGCCTAACTAAAACGTTATTTCATGTTCTAAATAAATATCAATTTCCAGAAATGAGTCAGAGTCACAGTAGTTGTATTAATTGCCATAGAATAAGCTAGAATTTTAAGATAAACCAGGTTGAATTCATATTTCATAATTGTACAAATTGCTTATAAAAGTTATATAAAATTAACATACACTTCAATAAAAATAGCTTAAGTCAGGATCTAGCCTTCTATGACTTTATTCTGCTTATCCCAAGTATTTCATCTCAATTAGGAAATATGATATATGTGGCTATTATTTTTTAATTTAGTAAAATTTATTTTACATGGGTGAAGGGGTCAAGGATACTGGAGGAGGGAGAAATAAACAGGTCATTTAACTTGAAGCAATTTGAACACTTTCAAATGGATAAGTAGTTATCACCAGACTTACTATACTATTGGTAAGTCTCACTGGTCCATTGTGAGGAAAAAAGGGAGGGCATCTATCTATATTATAAAAGACCTGTAATGACCAAAGACCGGCACAGTGGGCGGGGGATGCACAATTTCATGCACTGGGCTTCTGGTACATAGTGATTGTTCAACCAGTAGCTATAACATGCAATGACCACCAGGGGACAGACGCTCTGACCAGGAGCTATGACGTGCTCTGACCACCAAGGAGCAGACACTCCATGTAGGAGCTGCCTTTGCATAAAGATACATATGTACATATTTGAAATTGTTTTTAAAGATACAGAGAAAAAAAAATATTTTTATATATATACAAAGGATAAAAATTTTTATATTTTTAGAAAGAGTGTGAAAGGGATAAAGATGGGTGTGAAAAAGGGAATCAAACCATGATCTCTTGGTTCATAGGTCAACACTCAATCACTGAATCTTGCAGGCTGGGCAAGACTGGCATTTTTAAAGGAATTGCTCAGACATGGTTTAGCTGGAAATCAAAACCATGTTCTTCCGACTGTACTATGTGCCACCATATCACCTGAGCAGTTCCATTACCATGAAATTCTAATAAAAGACAAATGTAGATGTATGATTTGATTTACATATTTCTTTAATAATCAAATTTACATGATCCCATTCAAATATCTCACATAAATATATTTTTAAAAGGTTAAAACTGCCGAAACCGGTTTGGCTCAGTGGTAGAGCATCGGTCTGCGGACTGAAAGGTCCCGGGTTCGATTCCAGTCAAGGGCATGTACATTGGTTGCGGGCATATCCCCAGTAGGGGGTGTGCAGGAGGCAGCTAGCTGGTTGATGTTTCTCTCTCATTGTTTCTAGCTCTCTATCTCTCTCCCTTCCTCTCTGTAAAAAATCAATAAAATATATTTTTAAAAAAAAAAGGTTAAAACTGATTGCCCTGTATGTACCCAGATATTTTACATTTTGCAATTGATCTAAGGTATGTAGCATATTGGTTAAAAATTGTTTTCCTTCCTCAAACAACAAGAATTTAATTCAAACCTCCTGTTTTTTCCAATGTGAAGAAGGTAAAGGAAAACTGTACAATAACTAACCAAACAAAAGATATAAACATATTAAACAAAAAATTACCTTGATATTTCCCTGAGATAAACAGTCTGCATGGCTTTCTTCAAATGAGGTTCGATATTTCTCCAGAGTTTGCGAGTATCACGTTCACTTGCTACCAAAATGAAGAAAATTTCATTAATTCAGAGCTTATAAAAAAATTTTTAAAGTTAATAGATAAAATTATATAGTTACCTTCTCCTTTAACCACAGGTTCACAATATTTAGGAAAATTAAGTACTGCCTATAAACAAAGAAAAATAGTAGTTATCTACCACAATTAGGAATTATTTTTCAGGTAAAACCCTTAAACTATTCCAGCAAATTTTATTGTGATTTAACTTCTCAGGTAAATGCTATTCAAGCTTATTACTACAATAATAAAACAGCAAATGTCAATAACAGTAGTAAAACAATATGAAAAATATTCCTTAAGTGGCTAAATCCTGCCTATTAGCCCCTAGATATAAAGTAACATAACAAAGCATAATTTGTAAATTTAGGTCATAATAATGTTACAAAGGAACATAAAACACAAATAAAATACCCCTAGTCCAAAGAATTAACCTGTTATTTTCCAACGTCTGATCATTCTCACTAATTAAACATCTAGTGAAGTAAAACTCAAACTATTTCGACTGCCAGCACTGCCTGAGATTGTTACAAATCCAAGTTCTTAGCATCCTCTCAGGCACACTTGGTCAGAATCCTGAGGATGAGAGCCAGGAATCAATGTTTTAACAAACTGACTAGTAATTCTATGTATCCTAAAGTCTGAGAAGCAGTAATTAATCATAATCAGTAGTTTTTCATGAATCACCATTGAATTCTACTAAACGGTAGTAGAATAAGCAAACTGAGTAAATGTAACTGTCCAAGCACAGTCTCTATATTTAAATATACCTATAAAAGTGAGACCTTACTAACAAGTGGAATTTTAAGAAACAAAATACTTATTTGTCAAATACAAAATACTTTTCACAACTTTGACTATTAGCATTCAAATATGCTCTCCAATATTATGCCCACTTCTCTTATGTTAATCCTCAAATATAGGCAAATTCCCAATTGTATTAGGGTTATGCACAAATCTAAATTCAAGTCCACTGGTATTTTAAACTACCCACAGAGTAAAAATATGTATAAAAAAACTACTAACAAAATCACAAAAATAATTCCAAAGCCCAAGTAGAAATAATTTTAGATAATTTTTTATATTATAAATTTTCACAACCATTGTACATTCTCACATATAACTGCCCATTATTCATAACCATTTAAGTATATAATTTACTCTTAACTAATCTCATCAATGTAAAGGGAGGGGAGGAGAGGCACAACTTTATTAAAAAATGACCAATTGCTCAGGGAACACTAGTATTTCTAAAATAACAGAGGGAAAGAAATTATCAACAGCTAATTATGGCCATCTGTTACCTCATTCCTGACAACTAAACTTTCATTATGCCCATTTGTCAGCTAAAGGAAGAGAAGCAAAATATAGTTTGCCTACAGGCACACAGAGATTCTGCCTGAATTTATGATTGTAGATCTGAGATGTTTTGGGAATTTACTTCCAAACAAACAAACAAACAGAAAAAAGAACATGTGCTGTATGTTTTCATTTAAAGAAAGTCCAAAAACAAACAAACCTAATCTTTGAAATTAGAAGTAAAAGTAGTGATTACTTCAGGAGCAAAGATTACTTCAAGTAGGCTCCTGAGATGCTGGTAATTTTCTACTGTTTGACCTGGATTATATTTACAGAAGTGTTTTCACTTTGTGATAATTCATTGGGATACATAGTTATGATTTCTGTGCTTTTCTTCAGGTATAGTGTAAGAAAGCTAAGGAAAGCTAAGAAAAAATAAAAAGAAATATAAAACTAGATTATTTGTCCTAATTAAACACTCCACCACTCCCATAAGTACCCATAACCAAAGAACAGCTCTTATCTGTGAAAAAGTCATCCTCATCCATAAAGCAATCAGTATCTACCTATCTATATAAAAGCCTAATATGCAAAGTGTCCCCTCGGGAGTTTAACTGATCAGGGATTCAATCACTCACTATGATGTGTGCTGACCACCAGGGGGCGACACACAATGAAGGAAGGCCCCGGCTGGCAGCTAGCAGCCACTAGGAACCTACCCATGCATGGATTTCATTCACTGGGCCTCTAATAAGACTATAAAAGATTGGTGAAGGACACCCATTCACCCAGCTAGATTAACTCTGAATCAATAGGATGACAGCTCTTCTGCTACAGACTTCATATGACTTCAATCTCTGATACAAACCTACAGCAGGTATTAGCAGTCTCCATACTTGGGCTCTGGTTTATGTTTTTGCAGATCTCAATCTATTTTTAAGCCCATAGACTTTTGTTCAGCAAAAGAAAGCTGAAATCAATGGATTCCCAACAGGTTATCAGGCATTTTATATGTATTCCTTTCCTTTTATTTCACAAAATTCCTTTGAAGTGGGTATTATATATACTTAACAAGAGAAAACTCATGTTCAAAAAGGTTAGGTAATTTGGTCAAGATCTCAGAGCTGGCAAAGGAAGAAGTTTATTCATCTGTAAAATGAGGATTCGTGACAGTACCTTCTTTCTTAGGGCTGCTGTAAGAATTAATTGAGCTAATGGTAAAAAAGTTCATAACAGTGTCCGGCACACAGGAAGTACTCAACCAAGGCTGGATCTTATTTAAGAAGTAATATAGTATAACGCTTGTGAGCATATGCTATCGAGCCAGACACCATGGCTCTTTATTCACAAAATGTTACAATCTTTTTCATTTTAGTTCTCAGGGACCATTTTTTTCCTATTATACAATCACATGGCAAATAAGCAAAAATAACTGCTATGTACCGAAACACATTATTACATATTGTCTTTATGAATTCACTTATAGCTGAAGGACAGATTTGTAACCATTTCAGAATTATCTCTTCCTCATCAAAAAATAGTTTAAAAATAGATGAAAAAATTTGGAATCTAAGAATGTTATGATACCATTTGAAGCAGTCAGAGACTACCTTGAGTTGGACAGGTGCATGTGAGAGAGTTAAGTTATGAGTGAGGCATCAAAAGTCTTCTTATACTTTATGCAGCTTTTCTGTGCCAGATCCTTCTCTGCCCTTGCTGCCAAAACCCACACTTCAACATCCAGGGGGCCATCTACCTAGGCCCATGCTAAAAAATAAAATCAAAACTCCAGGAAATGCTGGGTCCTAGCTATAAAAAGCAGTTATGCTACTTTATTAAAATAATTCACCAATTATCAATGATGCTCTCAGAAATTATTTGTATTTTAAAAGAATATTAATTCGCCTGGCTGGCATGGCTCAGTGGTTGAGTGGCGATCTATGAATCAGGAAGTCATGGTTCAATTCCCAATCAGGGCACTTGCCTGAGTTGTGGGGTCGATCTCAGTAGGGACTTGAAGGAGGCAGCCAATCAATGATTTTCTCTCATCACTGATGTTCCTATCTGTCTCTCCCTTTCTCTTTCTCTCTGAAATCAATTTAAAGAAGTTTTTTAAGTGTTTGTTAAGGTTTTATATCTTTCTTTGACTCTTTATTTTTATTTTAAGAGTTCTAAATTTTCCACAATTAAAAAAAAAAAAAAGAAAGAAAGAAGGGGGAAAAACACTCCCAAGGCCAAGTGAAAAGATCTAAGTAAAGATAAATGAAAGTTTTCTAATCGGTTCAAAATTTGTACTAATCCACAGATTTCTTCCATTTTATGATGTATTAGTCTCAAAGGGCCAAATCAAAATTTCCATAATAAATTGTCAGCTTCCAACCTATTCCACATTATTTCTACATGGGAAAATATTAAAAGGCATACTTTTTAAAAGCAGAATGCCAACTCACCAGATGTCTGAGCTCTTTCAAATCCCGGCAGACAGTGTAGAAAACTCCAAGAAGAATATTAATGTAAGCAGCATAGAAATCAGCTGAATACTCTGGAGGATGATCATGGGACAGGATCTTTTGAAGGTTCCCTGTTCCCAGGACACAAATGAACATATAATGATTAATATAGGACCCTACTTACATCTTCCAGCATTTTATAACATAGCTTAAAAACGCAATAATTAAAGAATAAAACTATCACAAGATTTAAAAAGTAATACAAAAGTTGATACTGAGGGAAAAACAATTATAAATCTAATGTTCTAAAATAAAAATAAATGTTGCTTAACACAAATATTTAACAGTGACATCTAAAGAAAATTTTAAGATCCTTATTACTGGCAAAATCATTCTCAGAGACAAAAAATAACAGATTCTATTTTCTTTTTCTGCCTATTAAGTGTATCTTCCTGCCCTGGTTCCATGGTTACTTATTCTAACTCCAATTTGACTTATCAATTAATGCTTCCTTTCTGAAAGCCTTTTTGTGCGTTATGGTATTTTTGCTTTAAAAAAATTCAATGTACTGGTAAAAGGCACTTGAATTTAATAATCAGATTAAATTTAGCTCTCGTTTTTATATATTTTTAAAAAATCTAATATCGCACACTCTAAAATTGTCAAAATCACTTTAGTTATTTAATTATGACCTTAAATTCTCTCCATCTATGCTACTTTATATATTTTCATGTTTTAAAATTTTAATTAAATTCTATAATTCATTATACCATACTTTAATCCAACTTCACTATGATGTAGAAAATCAGGATTTTTTTAAATTTCTAAATAATTTTTTAATACTGACGGCTAAATGGGTCATGAAAAAAAAAATTAACATCAGTGATGACATAGCTACAAAGAAAACTTTTTAATTAAATCCTTTTGATTTATTCTTTTCTTCCTATTCATTTCTCATTTTGTGATTTTCATGAAAGAGAACCTATTTTGGGGTTCTTTTAAAAAATATATTTTTATTGATTTCAGAGAGGAAGGTGAGGGAGAAATAGAAACATCAATGATTACAGAGAATTACTGATTGGCTGCCTCCTGCATGCCCCACACTGGGGATCAAACCCACAAATGAACTGTGACCTCCTGGGTTTCAGCCTATTTTGGGTTTCTTTAAAAAAAAAAAATCTCAGTTAATTAGTTAACACAGGAGATAGTTTTTTGTTGTTGTTCTTGTGAAAATAAGCAAAAATGTGTTGATTTTAACAATGAATATTTACAGCTGATTAGTTCAGAAGGATGATGTTGATGAGGCCAAGGTCAAGGAATGCTATTTTTTCAGACCCTGCCAACCATCTTATGCTTCACAGTACCAGTCTTTGAATCAGAAATATTGTTTCTGTATACTAACATCTCAGTATTAATCTGTAAAACTATTCAAGAATACAAAAAGCTTTTGTTTTCTTCCAAAGATAAAACCATCAGGATCTATGAAGTTCAAGATTAAAGATAAACCAAAAAGAAATAAATACAAGGGCTAGTAATTGGAACTCTAAGAGTTACAGTAATAAAAATGAGATTTACAAAATAAAAAATACATCTCACATAGTACTTAAGCCAGCTTTATGGTAAATAAAGATTTCAATACAATTTTGCTCAGGTGAGAATTAACAACACAGATGTATCTATTGCATTTGTAGCACCCATACAAGAATCAGACTAGGTGTGCTTTACATTAAAATTGTAACGAAATCTTTATTTACCATATTCTTGTATGGATGCTACAAATGCAATAGATAGAAGCTTTGTTGTTGTTCTCACCCGAGGATGTTTTTCCATTGATATTTAGAGTGGAAGAGACAGGTAGAGGCAGAGAGAGAGAGGAACATCAATGTGAGAGACACACAATGATTGGTTGCCTCCAGCATGTGCCCTGACCAGGCCAGGGATTGTGCCTGCAACCAAGGTACATGCCCTTGAATCAAACCTGAGGCCCTTCAATCCATGAACCAACACTCTATCCACTGAGCCAAACCTGCGAGGGCAATATATACATCTTAATGTACTAGCTAAAAAAATGTAAAAACAAACCATTAGCACAAATATGTGAGAAGTGCTTTTTAAAAAAAAAATATTAGTAATTACACAAGAATAACTCCTCAGGGTTCCAAAGTAAACCCTCTATAAATGCAGAAAGACAAGCAACATTTTGATATTGGATGTAAACTTTAACAGATTAAGACATCAGAGTATTCCCATTTAAACATGCTAGCTTAATCTTCCACAGACTATTTTACTGAGTATCACTTGTCAAAATAATGTTTTAAAATTTACCTATGCTATAATCAGGGAAGTATAAGACAAATGGTTCAAAGCATCCAGTATTTGGACGGAATTTTTCCCAAATAATTTCACTGAGAAAGATAACGGTCACATTTCTATCAGTCTGTAAAAGAAAAAAAGTAATAAAATTAACTTTGCATTTAAAAATCTTAGAGCAATTCCACTTGAATCTTTCTTTCAAATCGAGCACAGTTCCAACATGTAACAAATTATTTGCATATTAACACACCATATTTAGAAAACCTAATCAAGGAGTTCATCTACTTGCAAATTTTCATACATAATTACTTGGGAATTTCCATAAAACTTTTAGGTTAATCAGCATTTCAGTTACCCATGAATGCTAGGACTTATTTTATAGAAATTAAGAAATATTTGCATAAATAGTTAAGACAAAACCTTTTTATGGGAATTTTCAAAGAAATCATTAGCTTTCAATTAATAAACAATCAAAGAAAGGCAAAACTTAACATCTCTCTTCATTAAAATGGCTACAGTAATCCAGAAAAAAAAGAAATGTGAGTTGAAGAAAAACAAATTAAGTCATATTATGTAACCACATATTATAGTTAGAAAAACTTAAAAGTTATTTTAAAGGATATTTTCACACAAATTAAGTAAAATTGACTTTGCATATACATTAAAAACACAAACAACTAAGATCTAAAACAGCATTGTTAAGTAAACAGGTATCTTTTGAAGTATGTTTATAAAATTATAATTAGTATACAAAAAGAAAACAGCCCACTGTGTATGATATCCTTCTATGAAGTGGCCACAAATGTCTTATGCATACTAGTTAGAATTTATCTGTAGATACCTCTGCATTCTCAACACAAATTTTAATTTTTCCCATGTTCTTTATGACATCTCCCAAACTGATAAGCAGATTCAACAGCAATTCTCTTTTCTGGTAGAGTCGAGATTACTGTGCATCTTTTAATTTTCTTCAGTTTCCATAATTAAAACCAAAATAAAAGTGAAAGCTGTTTTGTTCTGTAACTATTCTTAGAAACACTATCTCACAAATTATACTATAGTTTGATAGTGATTTACTTTTTATTGATTCCTATATTCCCTCCTCCCTGTTTATTCTTTTTTTTTTATAATATATTTTTTTTATTAAATTATTATTTTTGTACATATACCAATGCCCTCCCCGTTTATTCTTACTTGAGGATATTTTCCCATTGATTTTTAGAGAGAATGGAAGGGGAAAGAGTCAGAGAAAGAGAAACATCTATGTGAGAGAAACACATCAATTGATTGCCTCCCGCACATGCCCTGACCAGGGCTGGGGAAAAAGTCTGCAACAGAAGTACCTACCCTTGATCAAAATCGAACCTAGGACTCTTCCACTGACACTCTACCCACTGAACCATTCTGGCTAAGGCTTGATTCCTATCTTATGTATAATTTTATATTCCAATTTTCATTCTTTAGAAAAAATTATTTTGGCTAACAAAAGCAGCTAAGTTCAATAGATTAATAATGCCACAAAAATTTAGCATCTTTATGAAAGAAAAATATTTTCACTTTCAAATGCTATTTTATCTTATAAATTGATTTTAAGAATCCTTAAATTTATTTCTATAATGATAAAAAAAAAGTATGCTCTAAACACAATCTTGATTCAAAGCATTGAGTTGTTTTTACTTTAAAATGATTATTCAGCCGAAACCAGTTTGGCTCAGTGGTAGAGCGTTGGTCTGCGGACTAAAAGGTCCCAGGTTCGATTCCGGTCAAGGGCATGTACATTGGTTGCGGGCACATCCCCAGTAGGGGGTGTGCAAGAGGCAGCTGGTCGATGTTTCTCTCTCTCATCGACGTTTCTAGCTATCTCTCTCCCTTCCTCTCTGTAAAAAATCAATAAAATATATTTTAAAAAAAAGATTATTCAAAAGCATTTTATAAAATCAGTTAAAAATATTGAGATTAAAAAATTGTATTTGTCAGTTTGAAAGGTTTTTAACTTGGTAATGTTATCTGTTTATTTGAAAGTACTTCAATATACAATATCCATTCATTTAACTCAAATATTTAATATAAAAACTGGGAAATGCTTTTGCTATATTTCTCTGAAATGAAATATATATATTTTTTAAATCAAGCATGTTTTCAGAAATGTCAAACAGCGATTCTCATTTCTGATAGATGATTATTACTGTGCATCTTTTCATTTTCTTCAATTTATATAATTAAAACTAAAACAAAATTGAAAGGCCTAACTGCTTGAAGGGAAGCATAATCATTATTACTGAACATGAGGGGGGAAATGGAGTAAGCTATACTGGAAAAGCAAGAGGAATGCACTCTGAATACCAGTCAGGGAGTCCTAGACCAAAGCAATGGGAAATAATGGATGTGGATACAAACACAACAAAAGAAACTTCTAGGATAGGCCACCAAGAACTATATTTAATTTCTTCCTGTCCTCTCCATATTAGCCCTAGAATACTATTACCAACTGTGAATTTTAGGATTCAGCCTTAGGCACATAATGATTTCACTGACATTTGGAAAGTTTCTCTGTACGTCTAGCAGTTTCTCAACTGTGAGTAATGTATTTAACTTTTCAAGGTGAAAATGCTCTAAGCACTATCTCCCCAAATATTTACTTAATTTTTGTTATAATGCTATTTAATACTTAAATAATACAGATATAAAACTAAGTAAATATAAACTATTTATGCTCAAAGCACTTAGAAAAATTTAAGCTGGCCGGTGTAGCTCAGTGGCTGAGCACAAACCAGGAGGTCATGGTTTGATTGCCCGTCAGGGCACAGGCCAGTGTGGTGAGCTTGATCCCTAGCAGGGATTGTCAGGAGACAGCCAATCAATGATTCTCTCTCATCGGTGATGTTTCTATCCCTATCTCCCTCTCCCTTCCTCTTTCAAAAATCAATAAAAACAGAAAAATATAAAATCAACATAAATGTATAAGTTAGTGAAAAATTTAGAAAAGCAAAAAAATTTAAATTGACATTAACTGAATATGATAAACAATAGTTTGCTCAAACTAAATCTTTGCTCACTTTATGAACATGGTTCTAATAGGAAACATCAAGTTCTTCTGAGTTTAGCATTAGTATATAACTGATATTGGTGAACAATGAATTTCTCACCAATTTTCTTTACTTAAGCTATTGTAAAACCCTGTTTTCTGCAATAATATTTGGCTTTCACCCCACACATATGCACATGAAAAAAGATGCTTGCTCTTTTTGTAGATCATGACCCTTAGAATAGTATTAATACTATTCACTGCCAACACAATTGTAAATTAAAATACAACACTGAGTGACCATGATACTGAACTCAAGGTGATCCAAACTAGACATAGAATTATTTTTTTAAATTACTGAAATGAAAAGAAACTTTTAAAATTCTTGCAGGAAGTTCAAAGTCAAGTCCACTGCCATTTAGTCTAGCAAACACCTAAAATCAGTGTTAGTCACAATTAGAAATAAAAAGCTTAAAGTGAAGTTATCAAGTCACAAATTAGCTTTGAGAAAATGTTAATTTCACTCATATAGAGAAATGCAAATTAATATATTAATACTAGAGGCCCGGTGCATGAATTTGTACACAGGTGAAGTTCCTCAGCCTGGGCCAATGGGGGGGGGCAGCTTACCGGGGGGGAGGGCCCAAGGGAGGTTGGATGGCCACCGGGGGTAGGGTAGGGACCGCTGGAGGTTGGATGGCCAGCCTTCCCCTGATCAGGACAGATCAGGAAGGCCAGCCAGCTGGAGGGAGGAACCATGAGAGGTTGGCTGGCTGGCCGGTTGAGTGGGGAAGGGGGAATCGCATGAGGGTGGCCAGCTGGGGGGAGAGAGTAAGGGGTAAGGACCATAGAAGGTTGGCTGTGTAAGTGCACTGACCACCTGGGGGCAGCTGAGCGCCTGCCCCCTAGTGGTCAGTGCACATCATAGCAACTGGTCGACCAGTCCTTTGGTCACTTAGGCTTTTAGATATACTGAGTGGCCAGATTATTATGATCTCTAAACGTACAATAATCTGGCCACTCAGTGTATATCCCACATAAGAGAAAGCTAATATGCAAATTGTCCCCTCGACCAAGAATTCGACCAGCAAGCAGGCCAGCCAACTGCCCATGTCCCCTCCACCTGGATAGGCTAACTAAACCCCACCCATGCACAAATTCATGCACCAGGCCTTTAACACATATATGTGTGTGTGTGTATGTATGTAGGTATGTATATGTGTATGTACACTGAATGGCCAGATTATGCATTCAGAGATCATAATAATCTGGCCACTCAGTGTATATAAATGTCATTTCTCACCAATCAGATTGGCAAAAGGAAAAAAGTTGACAATATAGACCAGTGGTCAGCAAACTCATTAGTCAACAGAACCAAATATCAACAGTACAACGATTGAAATTTCTTTTGAGAGCCAAATTTTTTAAACTTAAACTTCTTCTAACACCCCTTCTTCAAAATAGACTCACCCAGGCCATGGTATTTTGTGGAAGAGCCACACTCAAGGGGCCAAAGAGCTGCATGTGGCTCGCGAGCCGCAGTTTGCTGACCACAGATATAGTCAATTGATTAGGCCATAGAGGAAGAAGATCTCAAACATTACTTACCAATTCTTGTAACCTAAGAAACCCAGGCAAAATATTCGCTTCCATATCTCTTAGATACTCTGCTTTATCTAGAACCTTATTAAAAAAAAAAATGCAGGACCAAAATCAATTTGCAAAGCCCTTTATAAAACATTTACCATTATATAAGCATATTATAAAGATTAATAATGTACAATTCAAGAATTCAACTTGCCATGTTGAAAGGAAAAATTTTAATTTTTGCTATTTACATTTATGGAAGACTTTTTTAATTAGGTCAAGTAAGTTAAAAATGGACTATTTATAACATATTTTAACTCTCAAATTTCTAACTAGAAAATGAGTCATTTTGCCCTACATTAAAAAGGTTTATTTTATAAGTACACTATAAAAAAGATAAGGATGCAAGATGTTCTGGACATTTTCTTAGGTTTCCAAGAAATACAATCATGTGGATTTTTTTATTCCATTTGATATAAAGATGTCTATCATAAAGCAAAAACTACAGCTTTTTCTGACCCAATTTCATCATGTAAAACTTTTTTCCCCCCAATATATTTTTATTTTAGAGAAGAAGGGAGTGGGAGAGAAATAGAAACATCAGTGATGATAGAGAATCATTGACTGGCTGCCTCTTGCATGCCCCGCACTGAGGACTGAGCCTGCAACCTGGGCATGTCCCCTGACCGGGAATTAAACCCTAACTTCCCGGTTCATAGGTTAACGCTCAATCACTGAGCCACCTCGGCCGGGCTATCATGTGAAATTTTTATTGCTTGAACTTTTACTGCATGCTAAATTTTGTTTAACTGGCTAACGGATCATGTTAAAAAAAGTAAAATTTTTTATCTACTATACATATAAAGTAGCTATATATAGGGTAGATATAATGGAATTAAATACTTACAATATATACAGTCTGATCCTTGAGACTTTTAGCGTTGGTTACTTGTTTAAACAAGCGAACAAAGTCATTAAATGTGTCACAAGTTATTTGAGTAGAACATCCATCCTCTGAAGAACTAAGATAATTCAACCTGTTTAAAATTTGTTCCAAAAGCAGCCTCAACGTAAAACATTCAACACAATTCACAAAGACATGTGGGAGCTGAAAACAAACAAAAAGGTGTAAATAGAAAAAACACATACACAAGCATGGCTCTGCTAGATATTTCCCATTTGCCCTTCTGAATCAATACCCCATCATCTTCCAACCTACTCTGTGTCCCAGGAGTCTGAACATTACAGACTGCATTGCCCAGACTGCCTCTTCTTTTCCAGCACTGACTGGATTCAGCCAATAGGAAGAACCAGCAAGAGACTGAAGGAAGCAGTAAGAGAGAGAAGTTGAATATATATTCTCTGATTTCCAGCCCCACGCCTCAGAGGCCCACAATTTGACAGTGGCTATGACCTCCTATCTAACATCACAGCCCCAGTCTGACAGCTCTTATTCAAAGGCTACAGATCTTGCTGGGGTCTGGTAACAATTCCTTTCTCTGGCTAGTTCAGGTCTGGGAGGGGTAAAGGCTATCACTGCTTCCCCACTCCTTATTGGTTCCTTAATGTTTCTTCAACCTTTGTAAAATAGTCTTTTTATTAAACTCAATTATTTAAGTTTGCCATTTGTTTCCTACAGGGATTCAAAGCAAACTTGTATTTTCTTCTACAGAATTCTTATAAGGAAACCCAAGTACATTTGAATGTGAAAATTTTTAGTAGAAATCTCAACATTTATAATTTTAGATAATATCCTTAATGCTGAATGAGCCTAAATTAATATATATATATATATATATATATATATATATATATATTTTTTTTTTTTTTTTTTTTTTTTTTTTTTTTTTTTTTTAAGTTAGAAACCACAGTAACCCCCTTAGAGCAGTGGTCACCAACCTTTCGGACCTCCACAGACCACCAGTTGGCAACCACTGTCCCAAAGGTTTCCTTAAACCAGAGGTGACCAACCTTTTGTACCTCATGGAACTTAGTTTGGCATGATTAAAGGCACATAAAGTCAAGACATTAATAATGTAAAATGAATAGAACAGATTTACTGGTTCGATTTACTGAAAGAGTGAGGATGAGCAAGGAATAAAGAGAAAGTTTTTTGACAACTATGTTAATATTGAGACCACTCACTCTGATAGGCAATATGGGGGAAAAGGCAGGGTAAAGGAGATATAGTAGGTTTTATATCTGTGGAGATTCAGAATTATCAGTATCAATATTATAAAAACAACAATGGAAAAGAAACAGGTTTTAATACTTTTTGAAGAATTTTTCTTCATAATTTTCCCCAAATATTATCAGCCAATGAAAGTTAGAAATAAAAAATAACTAATATCAAGGCTCAAGTTATCTAATAATCCCTTCTGAAGCTTAGTCTTTGAAGGTATTAAAACAAAAGTTGATCAAAAATGTTTTAGGTAGATGACGAGTGCCCCAGTGCACAGATTTGTGCACATTGAAAGGATATTAATTAGAAGGTGGCTGGCAGGGTGGGACTGGGCGAGAAGGGGCTGGACATGCCCTGGAGCCAACCTCCCAAGGTCCCTCCCTAGCCGGCTGCACCTGGGGCAGGGCTGCGGCTCAAAGGTCATCTGCGGAGTGAGCAGGGTAACTCTGGCAGGTGAGGTCCCTCAGCCTGGCTTGCAGGGATGGGGTTGAAGCTGGCTCTCCGACACCCCCTGGAATCGGGCTCCCTCTTCTCTGGTTCCAGATGCATTACCCAAGAACTGTTGCTGCCAAGTCACTGCAGCTCAGCAACTCCTGTGTTGAGCATCTGCCCCCTGGTGGTCAGTGCGCATCATACCTACTGGCCAGTCAGATGGTCACTTAGCCTCTTATATAGATATTCCTTAAGAGAAAGGTTAAACTGGACTAAAAAATGTCCCAGATCCCTTCCATTTCTAAGACTGTGAGCACAAATCAATTAACAGTAGGGGTTTACTCTTACCTCTAAAGTTTTTAACAAAGTTTGTGTGACATAAGTCTTTCCACTGGCAGTATGTCCATAAATAAAAATGGATGGAAAGCTGAAATGATGTCTCTAGGGAAGAAAAGATGATTATCAGACTATACATCCAAAGCAGAAAATAAACATTTATTATCTAACAATAAAATTTTATGTGGTAAAGTAAAATATTCAATTCAAATTATTTTAGCAGTGAGAATAAAGTGGTGTCATCACCACACTTTTAATTTACTTGCATTCAAGTCTAAGCACTTTCTCTGTTAAGAAATTAAAATTTCTGAAAAATATTTGGCTTATTATATACTATACATAATCATACTTTTTATATTATTTATGTATAATGCAAACTCTTATATTTTCAAAGGAGATTTTATAGGATATTTAAGAGATTTTTTTCAAGGACAATTTTGACCACATCAAGGAGAGTAAAACATCCATTAGCTGCCTCCTGCATGCCTCACACTTGGGATCAGGGTTGCAAGGGCATTATCCTATGTAATAAAGAGATAATATGCAAATTGACCATCATTTCAACACAGGATGGGCATCCCCGTGTGGTCAAAGATGGCCTCCCCCATGTGGACACAAGATGAAGACCACAAGACGGCCAGCAGGGGAGAGCAGTTGGGAGGGACCAGGCCTGCAAGGGAGGGAGTTGGGGTGATAAGCCTGCAGGGGAAGGCAGTTGGGGGTGACCGAACCAGCAGAGGAGGGCATTTGGGGGCAACCAGGGCTGTAGGGGAGGGCAATTGGGGGGAATCCAGGCCTGCAGTGGAGGGCAGTTAGGGGTGACCAGGCCTGCAAGGGAGGGCAGTGGCAGGGAGGCCAGGCCTACAAGGGAGGGAAGTTGGAGGCAATTGGGCTGGAAGGGGAGCAGTTAGGCATTGATCAGGCTGGTAAGGGAGTGGTTAGGGAGTGATCAGACTGTCAGACAGAAGCGGTTAGGGGCTATCAGGCAGGTAGGCAGGCAAGTGGTTGGGAGCCAGCAGTCCAGAGGGATCCCAGATTGGAGAGGTTCAGGGACATCCCCCTGCACGAATTTTGTGCACTGGGCCTCCAGTTTAGGATAATCCCATATAAGCAGCAACTTCATTATGCATTTCAAAGCTTTGAAACTAGACAAATGTAATTACAGGGTTAGAAAAATGTCAAGGGTCCTCTCTTAGAAAAACTTACAGGATACTTTTAAGTTATGCATATTAAATTTATCTCAGCCTGCATGTATTAATTTCATTTTTTAAAAAAAGATAAAATCTACATAACATACATTTCAAAATACATATTTCCAAGATTCTCCTGCAGGACATTAAGAGTCAGCTGCCTAGAAAAAATAATACTACAAATATATTTCAGTGATATAATGAACATTTATTAGAAACCTTTTAAATACTGACAACAATGATGCACTGAAACATATAAATATCAGTTAAAGCCAAAATCTGCTTTGGAGGAGTCTAGTGAGAAGACATACATTTTAAAAATAATTACAAGAAAACTGGATGATGCCATTTTCATGAGTCTCTATGATCATCATCTAACAGTACAATAGTCAACAAAACATTTATTACATTCTTAGCCTCTAAGTTATACATTTCCTTTTGCAAGACAAATTGGAAATCAGATTTATACAGGAAAAATTTTCCTAAAATAAACTCTATATTGATATTTCAATATATTAATCCCTTTTTAATAATGTATCTAACAATCTTGTAAATTAACTGACTCAAAAAATCTGTCCCAATAATTAAACACATGCTTGCTGAGAATCTCTGCTAAACAAATACTATATTTCACCTTTAAAGAAAAGTTTGTCTTATTCCTTCAGCAAATTTTTTCAAGATACACGAAAACCTGCATTTTCTGGAATCCTGCCAAACTTGTCTGCATCCATTATTTGGTGCTTAATAATATCCCACCTCATAACATCTTTCCTACGGTTCCCTAAAATTAAATTGAATTCTTGCATCGTTACTTAACCTTTCACCTTCACAGACCGTTCTCCCCTAATATAAACTGTAATAAGCCAGGATCTGGCACAGTACCTGGACACATAAATAAACCTGCTTAAAAAATATGAACTAGTTTTCCGTATGTCCCCATGCACTGCATCTTGCAGAAAAGTAATACTAACATTGTTAAACACTATTTACAGTACGAATAAAACTCAAAATCCTTCCTGCGGTCCACACCACTCTTATACACTGCTAATCTCTCTCTGCCAATCTCCTCTTTCAGGGGGAGCACTTATGGCTGAACTGATCTGGAGTTTATCAACTCCGGGGAAGGGATGCACAGAGAATAACCCCGAAAACGTCTCAGCGATAAGGAATCCGGCTAACTAAAACCGAAAGCCTGATGACTAAACTACTGAGAATGCAGTCCTTGTCCTCTCACTTCCCTAAGGTGCCCCTTTAGGAGGCTGGTACTTCTCCACAAATAACTGCACAGGCCGCCTCAGAACGCCACCATCACTTCCAGAGAGATGGAAACACTTAAGGGCCTTCCGAAGGCTAACCAGAAAATGGGAGGGGGACCAAGTCCAAGTCATGAGCACGACTCTGCACTCGCTGCTCCCCTCTTCACAGACAAAATCCAAGTCTGCTCCATTCCAAGTCTAAGGCATAGGTAGGCATCAAATCCAAGCCTGATGAAATACGTCTAAATTAGGCATAGGAGGCCGAAACCGGTTTGGCTCAATGGATAGAGCGTCGTCGGCCTGCGGACTGAAAGGTCCCAGGTTCGATTCCAGCCAAGGGCATGTACCTTGGTTGCGGGCACATCCCCAGTAGAAGGTGTGCAAGAGGCAGCTGATGGATGATTCTCTCTCATCAATATTCCTAGCTCTCTAGCCCTCCCTCTTCCTCTCTGAAAAAAAAAAAAATCAATAAAATATATTTTTTAAAAAAATAATGCATAGGAATCAGAAGGCCTCCCCCCATGGTGAACGTAATAAAACATAGATTAAGTCTTGCATCGATGACTGCTACCTCTCGCCTATGAAAAGAGACTCCCCTAGCTGTGTCCCTCCAGAGAAGACAGGCACTGAACCTCTCCTTCTCTCCGGCAGCCCAGCCCTCTCCAGGGCTTTTCCCATTCTGGAGAAGCCGCCGAGTTTTTAAACCGGAAGCCCTGCCTGGCCCCTCGGGGTCTAGCCACACTTGACTTACACCAAGTTAGTACCTCCCGGAAACGTGCCAAGTTCCACTTAAACAAATATAATAACACTCTGCACACACTCCTGTGGCATTAAAAAACCCTGTTCAGCGGGGGCAAGATAGGAAGCAGCTGCTACTGGCCACTTCGGGTTCCAACCCCGTTCCCCAAAGTGGGTCGCGTGGGAACCCACTGGTCCAGCACCAACATCCTGTCCAGCCGGCCGGTCCTTCCGGTGCCGCTTTCTCCTGGAAAAGGGTCTTCCCACAAGTTCTTTCGTGGGAAGGAAAGGGGGAGGCGTACAACACGCCCGATCTCAACGCAGCCGAGGGTCTATTAACCCTCCACCCACACACGATTTTTTTTTTTTTTTAAGCAGAAACGCATCGCCAGACCACGGAAACGTCTGCCCGCGGGACCGGGAAAACATAGCACAATACCTCTCCGAACAGGGACTGCAACGTGGACACTTGGGACTCGCGGCACAGCACCACGTTTTCCAAGTGGGGCATGCTGGCGGCTGCCGGGACGGCGCGGCCCCGCGGCCAGCCGGTCTCACGAAGCGAACCGCGGGGTCCCCTTAACAAGGCTAACGGCGCCTCGCTCCCGCCTGGAAACTGGCGGCCGGTGTGGGCGGGGCGGCGCGTGTGTGCGTCGGCCTGACGTCAGCGCGCACGCGTCGCGTCGCCCCGCCCTCCGCTGTGTGTGGTCTGCTGTCTGCTAGGGGAGCGCTTCGCTGATGCTGCTGCTTCCGGGGTGGGCGTTTCCACCCGCCACCTTGCCATCCACAAGGCTGAGAGGAGAAGGGGATGGGCGAAGGGAGATGGGACTGAAAGAGCTGAGGGGGCTCTGTGGGCTCCCAATGGTCCGCGAAACCCTGGCTTCGATTTTCCCTGCTGGAGGCCCCAAATGTAGAAACCTTTTATATATATATATATATATATATATATATATATATATATATATATATATATATATATATATATATTTTATTGATTTTTTACAGAGAGGAAGAGAGAGGGGTAGAGTTAGAAACATTGATGAGAGAGAATCATCGATCAGCTACCTCTTGCACACCCCCTACTGGGGATGTGCCTGCAACCAAGGTACATGACCTTGACTGGAATCGAACCTGGGACCTTTCAGTCCACAGGCCGAAGCTCTATCCTCTGAGCCAAACCGGTTTTGGCCCAGATGTAGAAACCTTGATTACCCGGGAGCTGTACACCTGGAGGAAGATACATACACCCCACATGGTGGGGATTGAGCCTGCCACCTAACCGGGAATAGAGCCATGGCCTCCTGGTTCACAGAGGAATGGATGCTCAACCACTGAGCATGGCTCATGAACCAGGAGGCCATGCTGGCCTCCTCTGTGAACCAGGAGGCCATGCTGGCCGGGCTGCAAGATTTTATTTTGTCAGGTTAATAATGGAATGTTAGGAAAGTAATTCTCTTGCCACTCCCTGCTCAGATTCTTTTGTCTCATTCCCCTCCCAACCAGATCCTCCAAATGCATAGGACAGTGTAGATGCCTGTTCCTTACTTTACCCCTAACTCATCTTCTGCTTCTCTTCGTTAAGCTCACTCCCCTTCAGCTGCGTTGGCCCCATGGCTTTACCTGGAAATGCTGGGCATGCTCCAGCTTCATGTGACTGTACCTGGGGCTCCTCCTGATTCTTTTCCTCAACTTTATGCATTTGGCTGGCTCACTTCTCAACTTCAGATCTCTCCTCAAATGTCAACTTATGAAAGAGGCCTTCTTTGACCATGAGTCTCTGCTATGCCCCGTTTCTGTTTTTGTTTTTTTGTTTTTCCATATTTTGGTTCACAGTACTTATCATCATCTGTATATTTTCCTTGTTTATTGTCAGTCTTCCCCACTAAAATGTAAGCTGTTTTAGGAGCTTAAATAACCTAGAAGAGTTTCTGGTGCATAGCAGGCACTCAATAAATATGTATTGAATTAATTAATGCCTTTACTTATCCCCAGTGACTGGCATGAGCTCTGGCACAGAGCAGGTGTTTAACCCTATTTGTTTAATGGAATGATATTAAGGGAAGATTACTAATAAATTACCAAATTAAAAAAAAACAGTCTTAGTTTTAATTGCAAGATGATTGCTGTCTGTGTTGTTAAATAATGGCATCTCATCCTTACTCAGTAGTCTGATTAACACAGTTATAGCCAAAGAGAGCCATGACCTAATTCCAGGATCTGTGAATATGTTAGATAATATGGCAAAAGGGAATTCACGTTGCAGGTGGAAGGAAGGTTATCAGCTGACCTTGAGATGGGGAGGTGAAATACCTAGATTGGCCCAGTATAATCACATAGGTCATTATTAGTGGGCGAGGAAGGCAGAAAGATGAGAACCAGAAAGTGACAGTGTGAGAATGGTTTGGCCTGACATTGTTGGCTTGGAAGTGGGTGGACATGAGCCAAGGAATGCAGGCAGCCTATGGAAGCTGGAAAGAGGAAGGAAATGGGGTGTCCCTTAGCACTCCCAGAAAGGAATGCAGCCCTGGGCAAACCTTGATATTAGCCCAGTGAGACTCATGTCAGACTTCTGACCTCCAGAACTAGAAGAGAAAAAAAAAAGTGTTGTTTTTAAGCCACCACTGTGTGGTGATTTGTTACAGCAGCAATAGAAAACTAATACACCACCTGTTACATTAGCATTAATTCTGATATTTTTGCTAGTACAAAAATGTATGTACACTCCACTGATTGGTACTCATATTGATTAGTTTTCATAATATGTTTGGGAAAATTTCAGGGATATTAAAGTGATTAAAAAGGATATTTGTCTCAGATTTTAAGAGTGAGGGTCATTATACAATATACTTTGAAGTATTGTAACTTTCTTATTGGGACACCCTTTTTATTCCTCAGGCTCCCTAAACCTGCCTATTTTATCCCTAAAATTCCTTTCAGTAGCTGCTACATATAATTCAATTGTATGGCTGCATCATAATTTATTTAACCAATCACTCATTCCCAATTTTTGCTCTTATGAGTATTTTTTTATGAATATCTTTAAATAGAGATCTTGACATGTGATTAAAGATTTCCTTAGGTTAAAATCCTAGAATCAGAATTAGGTTAAAATGTCTATAGATTTTGAAGACTTTTGATATATTTACCAAATTTCCTTCTAGCAATTTGCTTCAATCAGCTAAACTTGGAACATCTGGATTAAACAGGAGAGACTGAAAAAAGGTGGTCACAAGCCAATAACGCCACCTTATTGTGGACGGAAGGCAACGAATATCTTCTCTAGAGAAAAGCGTGCATTTATGGACAGGGGACAATCTCGGCTACTCTACCCTGGCAGGAGCCCTGGTCACGGGAAAAGAGGGTCTGCGCTGGGGTCTGGAAGTACTATATGGAGATGGCTTCCGGTAGTTCTGCAGCTACTCTTCTCTACCCCTAGATGTCGCTCTTGGAGTCAGAATACAACCTCCTTGTTTAATGGAATGATATTAAGGGAAGATTACTAATAAATTACCTATGCCTGAGAACAATGCTCAGAGAAAAGGATTCTGAATCTACCTTATCCTCATGGGGAATGGCAAACCCTAATTGGTTAAATTTATACACATTCAACCCCAAAACTGCAGGGGTGGGTGTGAGGGACAAATAACTGCTCTTTCTCTTCCAGGGTCAGATATATGAGGGGACTGGAGGTCAGAGGCTGGAAAAATGGTACAGCAACTTGAATTGCCTGAAAGAGACTCCAGGAATCTCTGTTGTCTGGATAATAAACTAGTTTGGGCCAGAAGAGCCTGCAACTTTTTATTGGCTCCAAAAGCTTCAAGGTGCTGGGAAACTGGGTTTCCCAGAAAACTCCTTGTAAACAGCTGATGTTGGATTTATCATTTCTGGGAAACTAGGGAATCTCAGTGGTTGCCCCACTGACAGTTATTCTCAGACTTGCTCAATAAAAGAGACAGGTGATGGGGTGACTCTTCACTGCAGCTTGGTTGTGTGGTGCATAGTGGCATAGATATCCCTGGGGTGGAAGAAGAACTGGGACACTCAGGTCCTTGATTGCTGCCCTTGGCTTATGAATGCCCCCCAATAAATAGTGATATAGCAGGATTTATCTTTATTCACCTTAGCACACTGCAGAAAAGCAGAAATGAAGAGAAGATTATAAAAATAGCCAAAGAGAAAGTCGGAGAAAGCTAACAGAAAACCACAAATAGACTGGCTGTAGACATACTCAACAAGGAGAGCCAGGAGAGGAAAAATATCTACTAAGAGCAGAGAGAAAATATCTATCTCAAATTATGTGCCCAGAAAATCTTCTTTAAAGAATGAGAACAATGTCCTAACTGGTTTGGCTCAGTGGACAGAGCATAGATTCCAGTCATGGGCATGTACCTTGGTTGCAGGCACATCCCCAGTAGGGGGTGTGCAGGAGGTAGCTGATGGATGTTTCTCTTCTATTGATGTTTCTAACTCTCTATCCCTCTCCCTTCCTCTCTTAAAAAAAATGTTGGAAAAAAAGAATGAGAACAAAATAAATTTATCTTGATAAGTAGGAAACTTAGAGAGCTTCCTACTTAAATACAGATCAATATTTAAGTTACATGTGAAAGTTGTAAAAGAGAGGAAGATTAATCAGAAGGAAGGTCTGAAACACAAGAAGCAATGTGAGAAAGTGCTAAACATAGACAAATATAAAACATTATTTACAAAAAATGATAATAGACAGTATAAAATTTTAATTTAAAAATTATTTACCAAAGTAATAACAATACGTTTCTAGCAATAAATCTAAAAAATTAAGCAAGACTTTAAAACAATCACAAGCTTGTCACTTTAAAAATATACACAAGTGTGAGAACTTTGAGCTACTTTGTCCCACCTCCAGTCACTTGACAGGAACACTGGCAAAATCCCCAGGAGGGAGGATACTGAGAAGGCTTAATAAGAAAATGGATATTTGTCAAGTCAGGGAACTCCTCAACCATGTATTGCTTCTTTTGCACAGTACAACCCATCCACACAACTATGGCTTACTCATGATGCGGAATGATAGTTGAAGGGTCTACTAGTGCTTCTTCATAAGCAACGTCCTCCACATCTTGGGGAGCCCTTCTTAGTCAATAAACACGACCTTGTTTTCTTCTCAGAGACATAATACAACCTGAGTGGAGTCAGTCATGAAGAATTGTTGTAGATATGGAGGACTTTGTTCAAGACACTTCACCTGTACTTATACTTGTCCACTGCTAGTCTCTGTTAGCCCAGCAGCAAAGATGATAGATCTACTAAGTGTTCAAAGCATTCCTACTGTCAGTCTCTGCTCCCACACCCCAGACTGAGGCAGAGCTTTACCAAAGAGAAGATACAGATGGGCCAATGGTCACAGATAGAAGCAAATATAATTTAACTGTTTGTTTTACACTCAAGCTCACAAATGCTTATTCTTTTCCTTCTTGGTCATCCCAAAATATTTTGCGAAGAGATTCTTTCTCATCAAGAAAAGAAGAGAATAAA